ATCAGTCACAAGAACGTTGAATCTGAATCACTTGAAAAAAACACAGGGGTGCTTAACTTTTTTCCAGGTGTATACATACTGTTGCCTGATTCCCTGAGGAACATGGATGGTTTTGGCCACTAACCTTTGTATTTGTTAATCCTCACCTGTTACACGATAGCTGGAACATGATTTGTTGCAGTTCTCTTTCTTGATGGTCTTGTGACCCAAGTTGATCCATATTCCTTTGTTTTTCAGTGTCATTAAGTACAAGGGATATGCCCATCTTTAAAATTTAAAAATTTCTAATTTGAACATATCTTTATGATCTAAATGTATAAATATGTTACATTAATAAGGGCGGTTACTTATCATTCCCAATAGCAATCAGTTTGTGGTGGGATCATACTAACAGCAAGGTTAAAATGTAGTTCTAATACGCTCTGTTCTACCGTGACTTTATAATGGCTGTGGTTGTAATATTTGCTGACTTGCATATTGAGACTCATTTTAATATATAATACTCAACCCTCTGAATCCATGTAGCATTAAGAGATGAATTTAAATTCTGTTTATTTTTAAAAATTTTCACTGCTTAATTTATCGTACAACTTTTGCAAGAACTCTATAAAAATAAGCATGTATGAAGTCTTAACTTCTGTGAAACCAATAATGACAATATACCCTACAAAATAAAAAAAAAGGAATGTTTTACCTTTTTTGAAAAAGATCTATATGCTCTTGTAAACCATCAAGTTCAAATCATTAAACATTTAAGGTACTAACCCTAACGTGATGTCAATAGTGGGTGTGAACAAGGAAATATCTTAATTTACTTCATACTCACTAATTCCCAGACCATTAAGACATATTTTGGTGAAACTTTTGAATCAGGAATAATCATAAGTGTATTAAATAAAGCTGAATTATCAAAATGAATGTGCTCAACGTCTAAGAATTTACAATACAGGCAATCATGAATTTATTAATAAATTGTTTAATATATGTCACAAAAACAAATATGGTAACAAGGCAGGGCAAAATTTGTATTAAATCCATAAAAATAAAGTCACATTCAGTTAATTTTTTTTAATGTTTAGTAACCATTTTCTATTTCTCTTTTATTTGTGAGACAAGTATTTGCCCAAGAAAATCACAAAAAGATTTCCTTTTTTCAAATTGATTTGTTAATTGTCCCATTAACTTAACTATACAGCTTTTCAAATAAGCTACCACTAATTCAGTCTTCTAAGAAATCAGTTCAACTGATGAGATGTTAAAAAACACTCCATATCTGAAGAATGTTAATGATTACAAAATATATACACATCCAAATGTCTCCATCCCAACTGTTTAGTATTCAATATCTTGTAATGTTGGTCAGCTACACTTGTTTAACACTCGAACAACAAATACATCAACTTTCCAAAACTAACTATTTCAGTTATTCTTTGAATAACCTTAAAATAAAAAGGAAATAATTACTATATGAACAACCTTTACCCCAGTATTTTATTTGTTTCTCAGACACACAAACCTCTGTAGTGGTTCTGTAAATGTAGATACAAATAATGATGACATTTGTGAAGTACTGAAACATAAAAGAAGTGATCAACAGAAACGTTTTTTTGCCAACTCCCGACACAATTTTATAAATATTTATTTTCACCAGTTTATCAGAAGTTCTATTTAGCAGGTTTAGTAGAAGTAGTGGTTACTTTTTGATTTCAAGTGAACTCTCTATGGCTGTTATAACATCATGTGATCTTTAAAAAATGTTGTCTTTTTAACAAGTATAGATAACATATTCTTTACACCTTATGGGGATTTTGTTATCGCTTCACAACAATCACAGACATGTCAAAATGAACCATAATTTTAAATCTGCACAGCAGAAACTTGATATACCAATGAGTATTTTAGTTTACCACATAAGATAATATAAATTTAATATTCAAGATTTAAACAACAACAAAAAAAATTCCCAAAGTTCCAATGTGTTGATAATTAGAACTTTCCCAATGATAAAAAGAAAGCATAAAGATTTGAAATATTATTTTAAAGTCTTTCTGTTTACCAACATTTATGAAGGAAATGAACATTCTGGTTGCTTAAACTCAATCTAAAACTCAAATATTGGTGCAAGTAAATGTACACATATACTTTAATATATTTTACTTGACGAAGTTACCCTCTACTTGAAGCTTTTTTGTATCAACAAAGAACTAGGGCATAAAAAATAAACATCTGGATCAAAAAAAAAAAAATATATATATATATATATTAGCAAAGGTATTACTAAATATGTATATTAAATTTTACCCCAAGTTATTTATATTTACACAGGTTTCAAATAAATATAACTGAGGACATTCAAATTTTCTATGAATAACTATATAACCTGTTTTAATGGGAAAAAAATTACAATAAATGTAACATTCTACCCCTATATGCACAAAACAAAACAGTTAATAATTTTGTCCACCATATGATTTGAAAATTAACAAGTATGGAGGGATTAAACAACACACTGGACGGAATTAGTAATGATACATTTTTCACCAGAATTTGTAATTCCAGTTCTTTGTTAGTGTTTTGTATTTGACTTCTCTAACTATTTACACAACAATGTAGTACTATTCTAAAAGATGTTACTACTTCCAGATAGAAGGGAAGAAATGCACAAGAAATATACTCTTGTCATCATCCAAGAACTGTCTGGACAATTCTTGTGAGAAGTCTGTGATGGCTTTTTGACCAGTTAGAACAAAGAAAGTAACTAAAGATCTCCTGGAAGAAGTACACGTGGATTTTGTTTAGCTAAAACAAAGCAAAAATTCCATTGTACAAGATCCTGATCAGAGATAATGACTTTTCGTTTTCATCAAACCGACCTAGAAGATTAAACTCCATTCGTTCTCACCTATAACCACTTTAGATTTGATTTATTCCAAACCAAATTTGCTGTACCCATAGATATACAAATCCATAATATAATTGGAGACTTGCAAGATTTAAGAAAAATGTTCATTTGGAGTCTACATTTGAACTACATAGCTGCCCAGGCCATAACAGCACATCCTATCAATATCAGGAATGGATATACACAACAGGAAATGCACGTAACCTTCATTGTTTTACAATTACGTTGGTAAGATGAAAGACATATATAAGCTCATAAATTAATATCTCGGAAATTACTTGATTTACATTTTAGTTGAGAACACAAACACTGTGTTCTCTCTTTTATCAAGATTCTCTACTCGTTACTGATCACACTTTAAAACTTTGCTGAATACATGAACCAAACAGATGTCGAATAGAAATGGGAATATAAAACTTATTTTCTGTTTCAGTGCAATGACTTATTTGGAACGTTTCAAAAATCTTCCTTCATGTACAAAATTATATTACTTTTCTCAAAGTCTTGTAAGTTTTGATGAAGATGGACACTTCAAAACACGTAGTGCGTGTTCTAAGTGGATGCTGTCGACAGTGAAATATTCTGTTTTAATTATTTATTTGATTTTAGAAAAATGCTGACCATTCACACTTAACCACTAAACTATTTTTTAGGATGGCAAAGAGCATATTTTTTTTTAGCAAGGAGTGATTTTTCCTAACTTGTATCATTTCTTTACCATGACAAATATTCCACTAATAACAGATACTTACCATTAGAAAAAAAGGTTATGGTTACAGTAGATGATTCAATTAAGAGAAACCATAACAAATAGATATATTTCTTAATATTATATCATAAAAAAATGTGGTTATTCACATATAGTAGACTTCTTTAAGTCTATGAAAGCATTTCTCCAGACATCAAATATTTGGATGGAAGACTGCCCCAAACATTTAATAAATGATTGTTAATCAACAAGAATAAAGATCTAGAGGAGTTCATAAAATCAGCTCCAAATCTGTCACTTTTTCCTCATATGTATGAAGTATTTCAAGCAAATCAACAATTTTTTACTAGAATGATAAATACAACATACATCCAACAATATTTGTTTAACACAGAACAGTCCATTTTCACCACACTCAACTGAACAGATAATGCATAGATACTTTAATTTGTTAGTTATTTATCACATTTATTATTTTTAAAGAAAGTAATTCTTCTTCGTTGTTTCTATGGCCAATTTTGTTCCTCTAATACATATCCAAAGGTGCAGGAAGCAAATTTACATTGTTTGGGCAAGGAACCATAATAAAATGGAAACTTCTCTTGACATAAATGACAAGGTAAGAAAACTTTTCAATAATTTGGGAGGGATGAAAGGGTTACCACAACATAAAATTTGGTAGTCCTATTTTAATATTTCTAAAATACATGTTTCACATTGCATGCTCACTATCAATTACCAATTGTGATACAAGTGCCACTAAACATGGCATAAAAATAAACTATGACAAGATGCAAGATTACAAGTATTTAGCAGCAAATTACTACCGACCAATGAAAATGCATCAAGGTAAGGAAATAGTTTATGTTATTTACTTATATATAAGTACTATACCCATTTCAGTTTATACAATTTGTAGGTCTAGTAAGTTCATAGCTGTGTATGTAATATTTGATCTACAATGCACAACACACAGATTAGTAAGAACCAGTAGCAACACTATTGCTTGGCTTAAAATTAATCTCACATTGGCAATACTTGACCATCAGATAATATTGATGAGGCATAACACTGTTAAGAAAAACATATATTCAAAACAAACTTTAAACTTTTCCGGAGAAATTAATGCTGGAGAATTTGTCCCACCAGTTTCGGCACCCTCGTGGATATATCAATGTGAACATTAAACTACTAAGAGCCATTTAAAGGCTAAGCATATTATCAATAAAAGCAACTTCATGGCAAAAAAAACAACATTCACCATACTACACACACCATCGTTTATAAAATAGAAAACTCAAACTAAGACATACCATAAATAAATGGTAAATAGTTTCATATATAAAATAAGTCAAGAACATGCAAGTTACACGCCTTTAACTGTGATGGACTGGGTGGTCAGTCTTCAAATGTTTTGTATGTATATATGACAGAAGACAACAGTGTTGGAAAGGAAGAATTTCATCTGTTTGCATTAAAAACTTTCAAACCGGCCTTGTGAAGTTAGCAGGAAAGATTCCTTTCTCCATTGTAGTCTCTCTGATGCCCATAAGCCAGCCTTCTTCCTTCAGTGATATATTAAAATCGTGTATGTATCATGTCAGTTACTATTTGTTTCATTGGTGTAAATAAATACTAATCTTTGAATTACAAATACTAAAACATCATAAAAAGAATTAACTATGAAGATGTATTCTAACTTTTAAATACAGCAATTAAATATATGTAAATACTTCCATGATATATTAAATTTGTTATCATCTACTGTTCCCTACTAATCATATAAATTAACTTATTTAGCTGCCATGAAGTGTATGAGCATCAACTATAAAGTTTAAATAGGAAAAAAATTTGAAAAATAGTGCTCTTAAATAGAATTGTTTTTAATCAATGTTATTAGTTATAAAAGCAGTACACAAGCCTTATTAAAATATTTTGGATTAATGACGTTAGGTGAATCAAATACTACTTTTCCAAATAAAAAACTAGCAAATGTATAATTTTAAAGATATGCTTTTTCTTATTAAAAATATAATAATTGGGTTGTGAGGAGAGGAAATCAACTATATACCTTAAATAGAAGGCCAGAGATACAGCTTTTGAGTGGATTGCTTATTTTCATTTACTGTTTAATTTTATTACAACGTTTCGACCATCATCAGGTAAATGAATAAACAACAATTACCTAATGATAGCCACACACAAGTGGGTCAAAACTGTAATAAAGTTAAATGAAAAATAAAAATAAACAATTTACTCAAAAAGTTGTATCTCTAGAATTTTATTTAGGTATTTAGTGGCTTAAGCAACACCATCTGAGTAGGACGAAAAGTTTACAACTACTAACTGTTTCTGGTGCTACTTCTTTGCACACACAGATGGAAATGTTTGTTATCAAAAATAAAATCAAAAATGATTTTGAGTAAAATGATCAATTTTCAAGTTACTCAGTGAGGCAACAATGGAAAATTTTAAAAACGCCTATTTTACTGTTTATTTCTAGGCCTATATACTTTAAGAAAATATCTCTGTGCTTAGACTCAGTCAATAAAGACCATTAATACCAAATTTGAGCTGTACAATCTTCTGCTAGTTTCCAAGCCGACTGTCAGAGGTGAAAAGAAGCATTTGTTAGAACCTAATATTGGGTAATCTTTGAACTGATAATCACAATAAGATAGAATAAAAGAAAAATTTATATATATAACATATTACAACGTTTCTCAATAAAACAAATTAGCCAAGTAATGAGATACAGTACTTTAGTAGAAACCTTCTTAAAAGTTCTGGAAAAGTGGTAGTAAATTACATCCCTATAACTGGCAGCTCTTGTTTTCTTGTATTATTAAACATATTAGCTTACTTTAAATAATACCACAATCAGCTGATCAACTCAATTTAGGTCAGAAAGTTAACTCACTTGCTCTTCTGGGTCATCGTAAGCAACAACGTTGATAAGTTCATTAGCTTCGAATGAAAGTTCATCAACATCTTCGGCAGTATATTTATAAGTAGCTTGCACCTGAAATGTAAAGATAAGAAAACTGACGCATATTTACACACAGGTGTTTGTTCTTTCCTATAAATTTTCAAATCTTCACACAGTAAAGTACTGCCTTTATTTATGCCTTCTTAACAGGCAATAAAAGTTTTCTATGTAAGTGGTTTATGTACAAATGTTTCTTAGTAGAGAAGAACAAAGATTCCATCTGAAAGAAACGGTCTAAAATCACAACAATAAAATATTTTGTGTCACTTTGTCTATGTACAGCTATCAAATATTTATTGAACATATAGTCACTATTAAGGATGGACAGAGCAGGTGGTAGACCAGGGTCTTCGAATTACATTATGGTAACACAAGACTGAATTATTTTTTTTTCATTAAATTGATATTCTAATTATTTGAAATTAAAACTAGATAAACATTACAAAACAAAAAATATGCCAGTATCACTGTCAAAGAAATTAAGACCGTAAAGCTAGGCAGTGTAGCAATCTACTACATTGGGTAACACTTACTTCCGAGCAAGTTGCTTTATTTTATTTTCATGGAGGCATAATCATTCATCAAAACAGTTGTCACCACTTTTCAGTTTTTAGGAACTTGGCTCTGATTTCTCTAAATGTTCATAATTCATTAAAAGCAGTTTTTTAAAATTGAAAATGGTAAGGACAGTTTTAACCATCTTTTTTTTTCTTTGCTTAAGTCTCCTAAATCTTTAATGCCAACTCTGGTAGAATATTATTAAATCAGGCTAAATATGTTGGTTGGTTGTTGTTACGAGCAAAGCTATACAATGGGCTATCTGTGCTCTGCCCACCATGAATATTGAAACCCAGTTTTTTTTTGTGTTATAAGACTTCAGATTTATCGCTGTGCCACAGGGAAGTTAATCAATTAATAAAATTATTGTAAACAAAGTTCTAACTTAAACTCCCAAAACTCATTACGAATAATATATAGATTTAAATATTAATACAATAATAAATTATGTAAATCAAAACACCAGTTCCTTATCCTATCTACAGAGCTATATAAATAAACCAACCCTGTAATAAACCCCAGGTGGAAGATTGGTTGTACTTGCTCCACGTGGAATTTCCACATCACCATGGTTTGAAGTTTTCACTTTCTCATCCTCGGTGTGGTTCTACCAATTAGAAATTTGGCACAAGCACTTTAAGAAATGATTTTGGATACAAATATAAAAGCCAAAATATTTAGAAACTGTATATTTATAATAAAAAAAAAAGTTGTGTAATAGCTTTTCTAGTTTGACATGAAGACTACAGGGTGATAAAAAAAAATGTTTACACTTATATGAGTTCATTGCAGACAATTACAAAGGAAACAGTGGTCGTCCAAGAACAGGAAGGTCTCCTGCAATGCTAGACCTCTATCAGACATGGATAGATATTTGTGGAGAAACATATAAAGTAAAAAATATAAACCCATACAAGTGTTAACATTGTTTTGAATCACCCTGTATATTCAATCTTTTTCTGGATACTTTTAACAATAATTTTTGGAACAGTCAAATAAATTATCAATTTTCTAATTAGCTATTTACAACATACATGCTTAGCAGTTTCTAGTAAGTTAAACTGCTACTTGGTGAGAATCATCTTGAAAAATATCTTACAATATACCAAACTGTTTTGTTTTGAGATAGTCTTTTACAGTAAGAGAGAGAGGGATAAGAAATAACATTTTTGAATCTTCCTTACACTCAGGTTTAGAACTTCTGCAAACTTTTAAGTCTAAAATATACTTAATTACTATTGTGAATTTAAATATATACAATTTATCTAGAAACCTCTCTTTGAGTATCCTCTACTTTAATTTCTTTCTCAGTATCTGATGGTATCTTGTTCACCAGTTTTCTATTTGAGTCTGCTGAAGGAGAATTTAGATGATCACCTACTTCTTCGTTCATGGAATCATTCAGTTCTGGAAAAAAAAAGAGTAATAATTACCATCTTTTACTATCAAAACAGTAACAGAATATTACTTAATGTATTTCAGCTTCTTGGAAAAACAAAGAAATGAAAGAACAACAATTTAATCTCAATAATTATTCTAGAATAGATATCCTAGATTTGTATCATGGCATTTCAAAAAAGAAAAGGTAGTTTTGAGAAATTTTGGAGTAACCGACTGGAATTAACAATACTTCAGGGAATCTATGAGATAGCTATAAAAACAAGCAGAAAGGTCACTATATAGTACTGACCCCTACCTCTTGTGACAATGACCCTTGAAAATAATATATTTGGAGAAAAAAAAATTATGAAAACATGCACTCACACAGACAAACAATGGGTAAAACTGAACAAGTAGGGGTAAAAAGGAAACACCGGACAAGATACAAAAATTTAATTGACTAATCTGTAACAGAGTCCACTACGCGTGATATTCCTAAAGCAAACTGTTAATCAATCTTACCGGACTTAGTAGGAGTAACTGGCATTTCAATTCCTCCATTAGTGATGACATGGTTATTTCTTTCACTCACATTTGTTTCGCTGTGCTCAAAGCTAGGCGAGCTTCCAGAAATAAGAAAAGAAAAAATTATTCTCAATATACATATTTATATTTTACAAATGTAGCACCAATTTATCACAAAGTTACTGGTTTGCGAACTAACTAAAAAATTTTAGCAGTTGACGATTTAAATTTGTATTTATGTACAAAACTTTTAAGTTAATACTCTCTATTTCCACTAAATTTTGTGTGTGATAAGACCCTTTAAAAATATGTTACTAGCTATATAAGAACTACTTGTAAAGTGGAATTCCTTTCAATGAACAAGCTAACAGTTTCTAACCTGCGACACTGCTACTGCAGGGAAATCATCTCGAAATACATCTCAGTATATCACAGGTTTTTTAAAATAGTAGTTACATTAAAAAATGCTTGTATTAAAACTGATTTACATCATTTAAGTTAACATTCATGTAAAGGATTCACAAAGTTCTCACAATCACATTATCTGTTCATGAAACATCAAAAACAGCTAAAGAAATGCATTCCTATACCTTTAAAGCTCTTGAAGTGCAAAAAAGAGCGACTCAAGACATTTAATTAAGTTTCTCACACACACATGAGATGTATTGAATTTAATGACAATCACAGATATAGATTTTGAAACCACAAAACAAATGCAAACTTCTTTAATATATTAGGCCACCACCATTAACTGTAGTAAAATTACATGAATATTTTAATTTTTCTATTACAAGTACAATGGTTATTCTATAAATATTTCTACCAGTATTATAAAGAAATAATCTCTTTTTTTCCTTTAGCTTCTATATTATAGAAAAGTTTATGCCTTGTTTGTAATAAATCTACACAAGCATATTACATCAATGAACATGACTTCAGAAGGTTTTGGTAATAAAATTCAAGCATTGATTAAATTAAGTTTAATATTTTAAACACTTATTAAAGTCATAGAAAACTAAGTTCAAATTTCAAACTCTTTCAGTAACATTAAAGACCTAACCATACACACTGATCTTCAAAAGACAAAACAAAAACTTGAGCATTTCAATGAAATAGTAAAACACAGTCTTTTTTTTTTATTTATTATTTCCATTGAAAAACAACTTAATATCTTCAAAGTAAACATACTGTTGAATAAATACACTTTGTTGAAGTGAAAAACTTTAAGTTATTATACAGACATAGTGGTTCACCAAGACAATACTTTTTTTCACTAAACAACACAACCCAATGGTATAATGAGGAAAATATTCATTATAAAAATAGAGACATTTTTCATGGAAAAGACAAAAGGTGCACAATTGCTTACATTTGATGTTTCAGCTATTTCTAAAGCAAATAAAACAATGTTAATATGAATTACAGCATACTAATAAAGAACTTTCCAAAATGTTTCAACACAGAAGTAGACAGAACTTTCTTTTTGGAAGTGCTCATAGCCCTAAATTATCAAAGTTTATTACCAATTAGAGACCAGTAGTTGACTCAATCAATTGATTAAATTAAGAGCATCAATTAGTGTCAGGTTGATGTTGTTTATGCAAATTACACTTGAATATAAATATCTAACCAATTTCATGGAACAGTCACAAGATATTTATTTACTCACTCTGAAAGAGAAGTTCTTAGGTTAGGCTGACGGGATGAATAGCCACCCTTCTGGTTTTCTTCTGCAAGCTCTCCCATTAAGTTACTTAAGTTGATGAACACTTTGGCATTTTCAGTATGGAAAACTGCTTCCGTAGAAAAGTAAGTCTGTAGATTTGACACCAAAAATGGGATGCGACTGAAATGAAATAGTGTTTCATATATAGAAAACTGAATTTTCACACAAAATACTGTTTAAATTAGTATACAAGAGTGTAATAATAATAATGGAACAATACGAGTCACTCTAAAATTGAATAAGATGTTTGCTGTCTAATTGACAATATTCTTTTCACAAGATATCCTCATCATTTCCTTAAACCAAAAAAACATTAAAAGCAATTCGTTCTACTTGCAAATTTTACTTACACTCAGTATAGAAACATTTTCTTGTCTAACCAGCATTCCATTACTGAAATGCTGTTGGAAAACATTCAGAATCTTCACCAATTTTCTCATCTATACTAAACAAATGTGATTAATACACAAACTTGTTTTGAGTATCATTGCTTGAGGTAATAAAACAAGTGAACAGTTGTTAATTATGTCAAAATTTTAATCCTTTTTAATGTATCTTTTCTCAGAATATAGTGGAAACAATAGGCACTCTTTTCAACCACGGGGAATCAAACCCCAGATTTTTGCATTTTTAATCTAAACTTACCACTAACCCACTAGGGATTCTTAACATAGGATGTTGTTGTTTTTAGTACAAAGTTAAACAACAGGCTATCTGTGCTCCATCCACTGTGGGGAAATCCAACCCCAGATTAACTTAACACTGACCCACCAGGGTATCTTAACATAGAAGACTTATCACAAACATTATGTGGAAATAAACATTTTCAAGATAGCAAAGTTGTAAGTATAATATTTCTATACTGAACTTTTGATTTTATCATTAAATTCAGTCTTGACTATCAGACTATAATAAAACATATTAATACACATAGATACAGGTATATTTAAAAAAAAAGTAAAATCACAGTTTTCAAAAACAATACAGTACAGTATTGTAGTTCTCCTGAAACTCAAATTAAAAGTCTAGTAAATGAATATTAGCACATACATAGAACAAACCTTTCAACATTGCATATAAAATGTCATCTTAGTAGAGTAGGTTCAGAAAAAGAGATGAAATCAAAGTCCAAGTACCACACATAAATTACATCATCCTTGTGACAGACATCTCTTATTTTAACTTGAGTTTAAGTCTTACATACTCAACGGATTAATAAACTTGTATCCATAGTTACTAAAAGTGGTATACTATAAGTAGAAAACAAATTACCATTTGTAGGCTAAATAATTACGCATCACAGAAATGAAAACACAACTCACCTGTCATACAATGCTGGAAGTTCTTCATGAAGTTCCTTGTTAAGAGATTCGTACAACGATTTTGATTCATCTAACTGTTCCTTTGCCTGAAATTTTTTTTTCATACTTAAGATATTTAAATCTTCTACACATGCAGATCTTATTGTGAAAAAAACATTCCATTCTATGCAAGTAACTTCAACCTAGCTGTACGTACTACATTTTAAGTCAACGTACCTAACACACAATCATCACATCCTTACTGTAAGTACTTATAACTTACCTCATAGAAATTTAGGGTTGATTTTTTAAATCAATAGAAAACTCAAAGTAATGAAACATACTACAAGAACTAGTAACAATGTTTAAACACATATGTTCAATGCACCTATTTGTGTATTTACATAAGCACAAACAGAACTTAAACTAATTATTACATAAGAAGAGTGTTTTATAATTACAAACATATTAAAACAATCTGTAAATGTGTGTTAATTTCAGAGTTAATTATCACAACATACTTTCTTTTGTACAGCGACTGGGAACTGGGAAGGACTTCCAGTGGTTTTACAGAAACACCCCATCTCTACAGTGAGAGTTATATAGCAACTCTAAACTAGTGTGGGTCTGAGGCAAAGCATACCTGACCAGGCAATACCCACCACAGAGTGGGATTCCATTATCAGCAGTTAAAACTAGGGTTTCTGAAATAAAAGCATAAATAAAATGAAGTGATAAGACAAAGGCGAACTGACATGTGTAGAATTGCCATGGGAGGTAGATGATATAGACTAAAGGAAGATACAGCCAGGACTTGAAGATAATGAGTGAGGAAGGTAATGGGAGTAGTCAACATTCTGGCCTGAACAATCTCTTCCAAAGAAAGCTGAAGTTCTGCAGCCAAGGACATAGTGATGTGACAAATTTGATGAGAAGAAACATTGTGAAGATGGCAACCTTACATGGATAAGTCCAAAAATGTCAGCCTAATGAGTTCACGAACCTAACTAGTAAGTGTGACAGGGGACAGATCACAAGAAACGGAAGGGTTCCAAGGAATAAAAGGTCAGGAATGTGAACCCCGAAAGGAAGCAGTATGTGTCACATATCACCTTACATCACAAATTGGACAAAGAAGCCAATTAAAATTGGAATGGGAGTACAGGTGGGAAATGGATGGTAAGGAATGGGTGGGAGAGCCAAACCACCTAATCCAGTAGCATAGGTCTTACAGAACAAGGACTAGTCAGGATAGAGGGTGACATAAGAGGAATGGTAAAGTATGTGGGTAACATTAATGCCATAAATACCTAAACGATGACAACTGCAAGCAAGAAAAAGGAAATAGGTCTTGAGAGTTTCAGGAAGACGTGAAGACAATGGTTTAAATGGAGGATGAGAAAGGGCATAAATCTGTGGTAAATGAAATATGCAACATGTGGAGTCAGTCCCTGGGCTGAGAAAATGGACCTGACAAAGGCCATGCATGAAGACAGAGAGTGGTGCACCTATGGAATAAGAGACCACTTCATGAGGAGAAACTGGATGAGGTGGAGTAAGCAGCACCCCTGCCATGGTCTGGACTCTACATAACCACCAAGCCAGGGATCTAAGGAGAAGTTCCACTGATCAAAGAGTGTCAACCAAAGGGAGCTCATATGGGAATGAGAGCTTCCATGGAAGCCCCCCCCCCTCATCTCCAGAGATAATACATCTCGAGCTGTAAGAAAAGGTGAGGGATGTGTGAACTGCTTGCTCCAAACCCAAAGACAAAGAGGAGAAGGCTCAGCCTAACTGAGGCTGGAAAGAAGAAATCCCCCTAAATGAATGGGGTATTGAGAGGGGGGTAAGAATGGACTTCCCCACTGTCAAGAGGAATCCCACCCATTCTATATCCTGTAGGAGCAGAGGAGTGTGGTCACTGGCCTGTGAATGGAAGGAAAGAAGCAGGAGCCAATCATGCATGAAAAGAAGAGTGTAATGATTCATACAGTGAAAATGTGTGCCTCATAAAATATTTCTATTATATTATTATTATTTATTTTACCTAATCTAACCTTTACTAACCTAAAGAGATCCCTATTTTTACATTTTAGTTACTTTTATAATAAGTAAAGAATAAAGATGAAAACCAAGAAATAAAGTACTTACCAGAGTATTCATTTTTTTGCTGTTGGCTATCGATGACACTTAACCCTACTTTTTATACTAATGGTAGTGGTGCATTAAGTAATTTTTATTTAATTAAATAATGCACCAAAGAACATAGAATAATAAAATTAAAAAAGCAGACAATTTCCTCCAACAATCACAATTTTTCTGGCTTTCTAACTATGAGAGCTGTTATAAATTCATTGATGCTAGCCATTGTGATTCCTGCGGGAACCAAAATTGTATTACAAGTTAAATTGACGATTATTTGTTCTGAACACAACGTAATATAACATGTCATTTGATAGATGAAAACCTTGGCTTTCTATTGGTTATAGGTAATACATAATTAAACATAAGAGAGAACTATTAACAAATCCTAAAAGAGAGAATGTGACAGGTGGGTGTGGCAGGAGGGGTCTGATGTTCTATTTGATAGTTCTGTAACCAAACAAAATTGAAGACTATAAAAATTATGGTTTGTCTGAGCAATAACGATTTTATAGTGAGTAATTTATGTTTAATTTGGTAGTTACTGGAGGGATGGTGGATAAAATAGAGAAGAGAAATTGTGTCACACTAGAGGAAATTCAGGATTTTTTTAAATATTGCCTTGTAGAATTAAGAACTTAAATCTTATGTACTATTAAAATGTGGATTATTAGCTAAGATTTTATGCTAATTTTATACTAATTGGTATAACATAAACAAAAAGTAGTTTAATAAAAGTTTGAATTTAAAACACAAAAACCTTGTGTCATGTGCAGTAAAGGATACCCGTGGCGATAGCGTTAATAATCAATATCGAAATTAACCTAGATGGCAAAGGAAACATAATTAAGTCCTACACTGATTAAAATAGGGATGAGAAGTCACATAGTTAACAATGATGAAAAAAAAGTACTCAAATAGAACTATGAAATAGATGTTAGTAGTAGTAATTATATGTAACTGACACACAATCTAAACATACTTTGGTAAAGTACTTATTAATAATGAACTAACAAAACTACGAAATTTGCTAAGTCTACAAAGTTCATAATATTAATGAATGTGCAAAATGATTAAATTTTATGAAAATACAAAGTAATAATCAATATCTAACTTACAATTCATCTAAAGTAACTTAGATGACAAAGGACACATAAATACCTAAATCACCAAAGTCCGAACACTGATGACGTGAAATTCGTAATTTAACTGTGTGTTAAAAAAAGCAAAGCCATGCAAAGGGCATCTGAACCGGCCTACCATGGTAATATCAAAGAAGTGTGAAGTGTACATGTTGAAAAACTTACCACAGATCCCACAGCAATAGGAAGGAATGAGGAGAAGAACAATTCTCAGCCAAAGTAAACGACGTGGCAGCACAACAACTGGTGGAAGGTGCCAAAAAAAGATAGTCCAAAGTGTCTACTTGTTGATTATATTCTTCCTCAGAAACATTGTCACATTGAAAGTAAGAAAACATGAATCAAGTGCCCTACGAATTAAAACCTGTACCTCCTTTGCAGATAAAGTTGAACCAAATTCCTGGGAAGTCGTACCAGTAGTAATTGTCAACTGGAATGGGAAATTCTGTAGTCGATACATTGATCACAAATTCATACTACGACCTCATTCAATTCGGTAACAGGAAATAAGTGCAAAAAAAATGTTGATACCAGTGAATGCAAACACAGTAAAATAAAACTGTTGAAATAAATTGGAATGGCAAGTAAGCACATTCATAAACGTAGCCATGTGGTAAAAAACACATGTCTAAACGATGCTGTGCCAATCAAGAAAGTGAGGATTGAATGGAAAGAGCAGAGGGAGGTAACTGTGTCAATATAGGTGGCACAATACTAATGGTGGAGAGTAGTCGCATGATACACATTCAGGTATACAGACAGGTGCGTTTATCTCGAAAAACTTTTTAGCAATGATTATAGGGCATACAAACATCAAGATAGCTTTGTGTAAGAGAGGCAAGACTGTATCGGAACTCTGTTGTAAATCTTGAAAATTTAATAGTATATACTTTATATTATATGCAGATTTTCTCCCCTTTGAGTTAGTGGCAAAAACTGTCAACATACCCCAGGTAACAGTAAGCAACATAATCAAGAAGGATCTTTGTCTGGTCACGAGTACACAAGTTGCTTCAATGATACAACTGTTCAACCATTGCACACTTCAGTCAGCTGGAGAATGAAATGGATATTTATGCTATTCCATAAAAAGACATGCCTATGGATTTCTGTATGATGAGACTATTAAAAAAAGCACTGGAATGTCCTCAAATATTAGATGACTTATGGAAAGCCTTCAAAGAGGAATGGTGTGCTTTGGACATGGGAGCTTTACAAAAGAGCCTTTTATGATGTCAACTATGTCAAGATGCATGGTTATCAGATATAGCATGACTGGATGTGGAATGTAATGATGTGGTGACATTCTAAAATAACATAAGCAACTTCTTTACTACAAATGAAAATATTGATACTACCTTAATTTAAGTCTCACCTTTGTAATTTTGACTTCATCCCTCTTTTTGCTAGCATTTAAAAGAGTTTCTAAATTATGTCTAGCACTATCATAGTCAACCATCTTTCGTCCTCTCTTTGCAATTTTTGCCTGTGCAAAGCAGAAAAAATAACATTTATTTTATGGAAGTTTAATACAAAATATTAAAAGCTGTGATGATCTTTGACATAATATTTTATTATAATTCATTCTGGGAGTCTGACATGATTAAATTAACTTTTAACAAAGTAATACTGCAAGAAACAGCAAAACTTG